TGAAGAATTTCGTTGTATTATGATTCGAGAACTCGAGATGTTTTTCAGACTTTTTGAAGCCGAAGTGTTTCTTTTATTGGATCTTCTACTTGCTCATGGTGACCTCCTTCTTCGGGTGATTATGACTGGTTTGAAGATTTGGATCTTATTTTTTTTCTATTTCATTGGTTGTGCTTTGAAGCTGAAGACCGTAATTGTTAGAGATTCATGGCAAGTTTCAGACTTCACATACACTTCAGAGTTTCAGAGACATTTCAGCACTTGGTTTCATTTCATTACCACACTTGCTAGTCGGATTACTGTATTATAGCCTTGTATCACTTATTGTATCTCTCATCATTTGTAAGCATTTTAGGGAAAGAATGTTGGTGCATGGAAATGCTCCACAAATAATGAGTGTTTATTAGGTTGTATTTTCCCTTTATTGTATTTATGGTGTAAATACTCTCCTTCCTATATAAAGGGAGAGTTGGTCATTTATTACTTTAGCTAGCTCACTTTTTCTTAGATTAAAGATTACTTTTCTTACAATGTAATCTAGAGAGAGAAAAAAGTGGTGGGTTCTCCAACCCAGGGAGAGTTTCTCTCCCACCATGTTCTTCATGAATATTATTATTATTCTCTCTTGTTCTTAGCCTTGTTCCATGAACTCATAATATGTTCTTCCTGTTCATACTTACAAAAAACACGATTAATCTCGAGATATCTTACTTCCGCATTCACCGTTCGTATAAAAATGGGTCTCTACAACTTTTATGTCCTTAATTATTCTTTCACAAAGCAATAATTATTCCCTAATCAAATTTTAATAGTTGATTATATTTATTAACAATCATATTAATAATAAACATTCAAAATTTGCCAACTCGATAAAGTTGTGACCCTATAGGATCATACGTTTTTAGCAATATCATTCAATAACGACTCTTGAGCATATAGATCCAACAACGTGCACTACCACTGGCACTTGCAAGTGTTGATTTGTAGCATGGCGACTTGAGTGTGGATGTTCCGGGTCGGATTTCAGGGAGCAAGATGGTCCTGAGGCGGGCTGGCTCAAGAGTTGTACACTCGGACTGCTAGAAGCTACTTCATGAGTTAGACTAGATGGAAGGGCTTATGTCTAACATAGGCTAGACATTACTATGGTAAACCTTCAGACTTGGCTAGGAGGCACGTAATATATATATATATATAATATATATATATTATATATATAGATATATATATATATATATATATATATAGGCTTAGGTTATTTTGTTTTTACTAAGTATTGTGTGCCAGAATGCACAGATCTAGACCAACGGATGAAATTAATCAATGGACATGATTTGAGAGTGTATGATATTACAATGGGGTAACATGTACCATATAATCACACAATTTTTAGCAAAAGGGTATTTTGGACAATTAACTACATTTATAAAAGGAAATTTTCGGATTTTTAGGGATGATTAATTCTCCTAATTTAAAAAAATCTGAATTTATTAATTAATTCAATTTCAATTTTTACCGATTTTATTCTGTCAGAATATTTTTTGTTAGAATGATGCTCTTTTGGGAATTTTATTCTAATAGAATATTATTGAAGAAAAACAAAATTCTTGAATCAGATGTTGAAAAATAACAAACATTCTAATATATTCTTATACATCCGAACTTAAATACAAATTCATACATATTCTTACAGACTAAAATCCTTATATATTTTAATATAATTATACATATTCTAAAAGAATATCAACAAAAATGATTAAAATTCTTAAAAAATAACAACATTCTTAAATTGTGAGTATGATCAAACTTTATTCATTCTTCAAGTTATTCCTATTAGGTCTTCAACGCCTTCTTCTAGCCATTCCTATCACTAATACAACAAAAACTAATAATTGTTAAAAACATGTTACTTGCAATTAACTATTACTTAATATATTCTGGTAGAATACATAGAATATGACAGAATACATATAATACATTCTGGCAGAATACATCGATTACATCGATTTTATTCTGGTAGAATACATTCTGATAGAATACATAGAATACATTCAAAAGTATTGTATTTACTGCTAATATAATTTTAGATTTCAAGTATACAATAACGAGGGACAATAGAAATTGGAATTCAAATCACAAATTGAACCAAAATAATACACAGACAAATTAATTATCTTTTTAAACAATTACATAAAACATGTGTTGCTAGTAATTCTGACAGAATGCATACCACAAGGTTAAATTCTTTAAATTCTCTTTCAGGCATTTCAACAAACACTTATTAGACATTATCATCAAACAAGCCAAAAACCATATTTGATTTACTTGCAATAGTTTACATATAAATATAATTTCCAGCAACATATTTGATTTAGAATGCATAGCACAAGGTTCAAAGAGTAAATTAATTTGTGTTGATGAAAAATAAAAAGGCACAAACAACCTAGAATTGTATTCCATAACCGAAAGAAAAAAATATATGTCAGACCCAATAAAGCATAGAAACGTGGTTTTCATATAAGATTTGAAAACATTATTTTGTAAGAAAGAAGAGCATCCACATCAGAGAAATTGAAACTCATCAACTTGAACACATGAATAAAGAATGTTACTTACATTATAAGGCCTTGATACAAGAGCTGGAACCATTCGAACTTACATCTTTTTCTATGCTTCCTTCTAACTGAAAGTTGCTGAGAAATTTCATTTTGTACTATTATTAGCCACATGAATCAATTAATATAAACACAATATGAAATGTATATAACACCCACAACAAGATTAAGAAAACAAAACCTTCTCAATTGATGCACATCCCAACACAAGTGATGGAGCATGATCGAGTATGGATATAGTTGTCATACTATACTCCTATTATTGATATACACAAAACCTTCAATACCTCAGGACTGTGAAATTGGGAACAAACGGCAGAATCAAACTGGCAAAAACAAACCCTCCGTCCACTAGGACCATCGCCTGTGAGAGACGTCGATTTGGGAAAAAGCAGAGATGTCGAAGAAAAAACTGGAAAACCACGAATAAAATAAAGAATATTTCAAGTCTTCGGTTCAGTGGGGTTGGGGCGTATAAGTTGATATTTGGGGTGAAAGGCTTCGGTTTCAAGAAACAGAGGCGGTAGAGGAGAAGTTAAGTGAAGCGTTGGATCAAGAAGGGAAAAGAAGAGGTCGATGATTTGCATCAGGGTTGTGGAGATGATGGTTTGAAATAAGTCAAATAATAGTAGACGTGATTTAAGGGATATACCAAATATATAAGAATTTATTTTTGGTTTATAAAAACAAAAATGACTCATCTACCATTTTTTTTACATTAATGATTTTTTTTTTTGAATTCTCATTGGTGCATACATGCACACAATACTTGCTAGAAACATTTGAACCTAGCTCTCTCTCTCTCTCTCTCTATATATATATATATATATATATATATATATATATATATATATATAATGGTTGTTGCTATATGTAACCCTCATTACTAATTGTACCCCCAAATCCTTAATTACTCCTAATTACCCTAATATAAATCACATCAACAATGGTATTTGACTATTTGTTTTTTTGTTGTCTTTTTCTCTATAATTTATTATTACTATTATTGTTATTGTTATTGTTATTGTTATTATAGACATTTTGTGTATCTTTATGTCTATCGTTGTGTTACTTTTTTTCGTTCGGACTATTTAAATTGTTTTTTTTTGTTCTGACTATATCTATGTTATTTTTTTTCGATCAGACTATACATGTGTTATTTTTTCGTTCGGAGTATCTATGTGTTATTTTCTCGTCCCGATTATCCATGTGTTAATTTTTTTGTTCCGACTAACCATATGTTATATTTTCGTTCGGAATATCATTGTATTATCATTTTGTTCGAACTATCTATATAAAGTATTTTTTTTACGAAATCACAACAGAAGAGTTACATGGGATGGTCTGAAAAAAATAACACAATGATAGTACAAACGGAAAAAATAACACATGGATAGTTCGAACAAAAAAAAAAAACAAAACGATAGCCCGAATGAAAAAATAACATATGGATAGTGCAAACGAAAAAAATATTACGGGGATGGTCGGAACAAAAAAACTACATAGAGATAGTCTGAATGAAAACATAACAGATGCATAGTCCAAACGAAAAAAAAATATGGATAGTACGAAAGAAAAAATTTGACAATGATAGTCGAAACGAAAAAAAATAACACAAGAATAATCGGAACAAAAAAATAACACGGATATAAACGTAACGGAAAAAATAAAATAATGATAGTCCAAACGGAAAAGAAATAGAACAAGGATAGTCCGAACGAAAAATAACATATGAATAGTCTGAATGAAAGAAACAACACAACGAAAGTCGGAAAAATAACATATGAATATTATGAACCGTAGAGAAAACCTTGTATACTGCATGATAAGAAACTTTGTATTTTGCTCGAATTAGTGCTTATTATTATTATTATTATTATATTTTTTTAATAATAATAATAATAAATCAAATAAATTAAATAATATTAAAAAAAAACAAAGACAAATTAAAAATAATAATAATAATAATAGAAGTAGTACAATTAGTAATCGAGGGATGCCTATAGAAATATCTTTTGTTGAAACAACAAAGTTCTTTTAATCAAAACTACATGCCTTTAATTTAAACTTTTATTTATTGCAGCAACAAGCATACACACGATTGTTTCTTACATATTTATACTATGATATATGTAACTGCCATGCAGTACAGTTATGGCAGTTAATTAATAATCGTAAACAACACAACGCTTACTAAACAACACAACGATTCAACTCCATCTAATAACTAACGACAGATTAAGCTTGTACTTTAACATTTCCCTTAAGCTACACACGAATCTATTCCAAGTTTACCCTCTAACTGTAATGCCTTATTTATTATTGTATCATCGTGTAAAAAATTATTAAACTAAAAAGACCAAAAGGAAACGAGCCAAAACCAGCTCAATAATGAAGCACAGCAATATCATATTCAATAGTAGACGACGTCTCATTACGATAAGTGGCAATCCCACGCGCAAGTCGGAAAATCCCAGTACCACCAACGACAGACATTTCACGTACCTGATTCTGGATAGGGTTCGTGCCAAGAACCTGTAGGGTGCTACCATTGAACCTCCCTTGTGTGAAGACAAAGTTCAAGTTCATAAGAAACCGCTGTTTTTCCAACGATGCTGCACCAGCAAATCCTTGACCCCTACCAATCTTCATGGACTGTGGATCTGGGCCAACGGTCATAGGGTTGTCAAACATGAAGGCTAGACCAAATCCGGTAATGCTGGTCGAGGTGATGTTTGATTGGAATACTGGATATGCAGTTTGACCTTGCCCACCCAGGGCGTCGTGAAAGTAAAAGTGTAGGTTTGTGACCTTTTGTTTTTTGAGTGGGAGCTCCTGCTTGAACCATGTTTGCACTGCTTTTGGCCCTTCAGAAACGCTCTGAACCAGTGGGATTGCTATGACAATTGTGCATAGCATCAACATCACATGCTCTTTCTTCATTTTTTATATTAAGGATTCAAAAATGTAGGGATTTTATTCTTTGTTTCTGAACAAGAAACTTGGGATTGAAGAAGGAGATTTGGAGGGGATCTTTGAAAGGTAAAAGATGGAAACATAAGAGAAAGTGGGACAGAAATTTCTTCTCTTATAGAATCAAGTGGAGGGTAACATTCATTAATAGGATAACACCATTGTTGAATAGTATTCCTTTTTTTAAAATCAAAGACGTAATGAGAACATCTGACTTTTGTTATCATTAAAAATTAAAAACTAAAACAGAAAAAACAGAATAAATGTTTAGGAAAAAGCAGCTCCTTGGATTTTGGTCTTTGGTAGGTTCTTCGAGTTGGACTTTTTACTTCCGACTTTTCTTAGGATATAACTAAAAAAAGAATGAAGCCCACGTTTTGCTTTTGTATTTGGAGTTGGGACTATGCCATACATATTAGAAATAGAGAGACCAAAGGGCTTCTAGCCCAGCGGTATCCGGTGTTGCCCTTCTTTTTTGAGGTCGAGGGTTCAAATCTCGTGAAGGACATAGGTGGATATTTAGATGTAGTGTAGGAGTAGAATAGATTTGCCGTTCCAAAAAAAAAAAAAAAATTAGAAATAGAGAGGGAGACCCGCAGGCACAGAGGTTACGTGAGTATTTATTCAACAACTTAATTCCTTAAATATATAATTAAATATTTACGTATATAAAACGGCCCACCTTTTTCCCAATGATTTCGTCACAACTGTTTGGTTGGGTTATTTCGATTTTTATGCTCACCTCTACTACATCATGCTTAAATATCATTGCAATGATCTTATTTCTTATTTCTCTCTTCTCTAAACTTTTATTAAATAAAAAATTTATGTGTATACTAAACAAACAAATAATAAATAATTAAGGTTTTTTTTTTCATTAGAAACTAAATTACATAACTAGAATTAGAAAATACATTCCATATATAAATAACAAAAAAATAATAACAAAACTAAAATTAAATACATTCCAAACACAACATATTTCTTCAAAAAATTAATAACAAAACTAAAAGGGAAAATGACATAAATGTCCTACAAACTTTCTAGGGTTTACCCATTTAGTCTCTAATGTTTTTGTCGGGCTTTATAGTTCCCTAAACTAGGATATGACCTGCTCTTTTAGTACATGTCAACCTGTAATAGCCGGTTCAACGACCTTTTAGACAAAAAAACTCACATTGTGCCCCTATAAAACCAAAAAAATAAGTTTGGGGATCAATTCGTAACAAATAATAATTTTAGTGATAGTTATGTTATAAAAGTGGAAATATTGGATAATTTACCGAAGATCACAACCCTCTTCCCCTTTCAGAAAATCAATTAACAGGAAACATTCCTAACAATTTTGATGAAATGAGAGAACTCAAATCTTTGGATTTGTCTGTCAACCATCTTGATGGAAAGATTCCTTTAAGCTTGGCTGGGTTAACTGCTCTGAGTTTGTTGAACGTATCATACAACCATGTTACAGGAACAATCCCGACAGGGCATCAGCTTCAAACCTTCAATGAATTTAGTTTCATTGGAAATCATGCACTTTGTAGGGATCCTCTTCCAGGTTGCCGAAAAAAAACTGATGATACCAAGGGAGCTAATGACGATCATGGCGAACCTGATGGCACTGATTGGATCCTAGTGATATGTATGATCGTTGGATTGGATGTTGGTTTCTGGATCACGATTGGCACGTTGATTGTCAGCAAACAATGTAGAGATGCATATTATCATTTTCTAGACGAAATGAGGATCAACGCAAATTTCATTCTTCTCGTATCCATGTACATAAGTCATATCCCATAATTGTAGTTTTTCACTTGAATTCTTTGTTACGATTACGAGTAAATATATTGGTTACTTTCTAGGTTTTGAAATACAAACAAAAGTAAATGTATACACTCAAAGATTATATCTGTATATTTCTTAAAATTTTATTCATCTAAATTTGATGAAAACATAAGTTTAGAAACTTTACACATAAAAGTGTTTTGGGAGGAATAAACCGGAAGAAAAAAGAAAGATATAACAATATTTATATAAGGCTTTTCGTAAAGTTATCAAATATTTCCACTTTTTATAACATAACTATCACTTAAATCATTATTTGTTACGAATTGATCCCCGAACTTATTTTTTTGGCTTTATAGGGGCACAATGTGAATTTTTTTGGTCTAAAAGGTCATTGAACCGGATATTACAGGTTAATAGGGACTAAAAGAGCAGACCATATCCTAGTTTAGGGACCCATAAAGCCCGACAAAAACTTTAGGGACTAAATGGGTAAACGCTAAAAAGTTTGTAGGGCATTTATGTCATTTTCCTAAACTAAAATTATATACATTCTATGACGCATTACTCACATATTTTCTTCCACAGAGGAGGATGAAAAAACCGGTTTTTTTTCCCTTCAGTCGGAGATTTTTTGGCTCCTCTTAGTTAAAATCATTGGGAAGTTATGTGTTGAAGGAAGTCTTGTAAGTATCTAATTTTGAACATTTTCTTCCTTTTTGAAGGTTGAATTAATCAAAGCATCAATTTGTGTCATGCCATTTCGGATGATCTTTAACGATGTCCCAAGCCGCCTCCTAAGGAAACACTTTATTTTCATAAAGATTTCGGTAATCAATATGCACTGTTTTTTTATATTAATCGTTATTGATTGAGCACATCGATGTTTGGTAAGTTTGTTGTTATAGATGTCATTTAACTTTGACATTTTCCCATTCGTGTCTTTCCATTTAGAATTCATTTTCCCATCCACGTCTTTCCATTTGACTTAGCATTTTGAATGTATGTCGCGTAAACTGTTTTGCTGATAATAATATCCCGTCCGCTCTCGCCCACGAATTAGTTGGCCGCTCTTGTCATATGAAGCTTATTAAATATGTGTGTTATTTATCGTTCAACTGCATCATTTAGTATGTGCGAAATTGTTGTATCATTTTTCAAAGTGTTTAGTACCTAATAACTAGTATCTGAGTTATATTTGAAGATGAAAAGGCTAACATTCATAAATTCAAAGTTCATAATTTCGGATTCTCGAAGAAACATTGAAGATTATATATAGAAGAAATGACACGGACACTTTGTAACATCGTGATTTTTCACCCAAAATTTTCCTTTTATTTAAAACGCTTTTTAACTATAATACGTTAGTGGAAGTCTTATTTTGAATTTTATGAAAACATTATGAATGTTATTTTTATTACCAAAAACAACATTCATCAAAACTAATGTTAACAAAACCAACCCAAAACAAGTTCTCAAAAAACAAGTGTTATGAAAACTTAACGACATGTCCAAATAGTCTCAATACTAAAACATAAACTGGAATGTAACTACCCAAAAGTCTCCAATCATCACCAGGCTATCATATGATGCTACCTATATTAATACAAGGGAAAAATAAATAAATAAATAAAATTAAACTAAATTTAAAAAAAACACATATACACACAAACAAAGAAACAAGTGTCAGCAAATGCTAAGTGAGTCAACCATAAGTACAATGTTAGGAAAAACACATAGAGCATTACATCATCACATATTCATCACTTGGGTATCATTAAGGTCTACCATTAATATTCATATTTTAATATTTAATAAATACTACTTATTGCCAACCCAGCCCCTGGGTCCATCACTAACCCGTAAAGTAAACACCCCACACGTAGGTCCATCACTAACCTGAAGGAAAAACCCGTTCACTACTAACTGAACGGTCCAACCCTTCCCCACTGGGTCCATCACCAACCCAAGAAGTAAATATTTCATTAACTAATAACACGACCAACTCGACCTAACGCTCTAAGTGAGGCATGACTCTCACCCGTAACATTGCCCCCGATGTGCTACGTTCGCTACTCTGGAGATGAAGATACACGTATGTGCATTGTCGTTCGAGAGTGGTACTTATCATTGTCTCCCATCACTAGAAACATCTCACCCAACCATGATATTTGATCCAGCAAAGTCTAGGTTACTACCCTTTTACGCCCAGCTAAGTGTATTCCATTTTTTAATTATATATGTTATTTAATATCATATGGCATATTACTTACATACTTCTAATATGTAAACATGCAACTAGACTTAACAAGGTAAGGCATTTTACATCTTTATATAATCATCCACATATCATCATTTCATCATTAAAACATATTATATCACTAGCATGCATTGTCCTAACCATCATAGACAAGTATTTCCATAAAATCATAGCATGCAATACCACAGACAATCAATATAAATCCATCTTTCTAGGATCGACATATCACAACCATTACATTAATATGTCAAATAAATGTCTATGCTGAAGGGATAATCATTTTCATTAACATTTCATTCACAATTGGGGTACATCAAACCTATACAACCTAGGTTCATTCTATCCTTCTATGATATGGAATTTCCCTAAAAAAGTAATTAAATTCCACAAAGATTAACTCACCATTGACACGTAAGGGTTTGGATTCACTTCAGATCTTATAAGCGCTTAAGGTGTCACACTCCCTTAATATAACAGAATAATCACATTACTAAGTGTTTTCAAGTTTAATACTTTCAAAAATATGGTGTTAGTAATACAAATATGTTTATGCCCATTTTTATTAAAATTTTAGGATTTCCCAAATTGACCCATGCTTAGTGTTTTGGGCTTAAATTCGAATCTACAACTCCAAATGAGACATAATTGGAATTTCTGAAACCCATACTCGATTTCCCACAATTATGTTGTTGTGGTGAATTTCTCAAAATTCAGACCATAATAGCCTCTACAGGCTTCATAAGATAGGTCAACGAATCTGTCCAGATTTGTAATTTTTGCCAAAATCAACAAACACATTAAGGCTTTAGTCAAAGGATTATGATCACTCAAATTTTCACCCACTTGTCATTGAATAAGAGCATTAAGACCTGAATTGAGGACTTAATGAGAACACCAAGAAGATGATTAAAACTTGATTGAAAGT